TCATGCGTTAATCTCCTTTAGAGGGGGGCAGAAGAGAAAAACTCAACATCAGTGGCAATTCTCTGTCACATCTGAATGCTCTAGAAGAATGGCTCTCCTGTAGCAGGGCAGCTCCAGTGTTAATCAAGGCAGACTGGAGTACCAAACATGTGATCACATTCACACAGCTGATAATGAGCCTGTTTGGTTTGTACTAACAAACTCTTCAGATCCTGTTTGTAGGATGAAAGCTCCTTACTATCTGATAAGAATAAACCTGTTAAATAAAAGCCTCTCCAGCAGATGGTGAGAGTTATCAGACTTGTGAAAAAGGAGTTTCCCGTTTGAGCAGACAAAGCAGCTTTTCCCAGATTGACTGTCAACTGGCCCATCAGTCACAGAAATCACCATTTAAATAGAGTCATCATACTAAGTGAACCTACTAAGCAAATGGGATTTAATTTTGCCCTGGGCCATTCACTGATACAGTGCCATCTGGTCAGCACCTTCACCCCTTGTGCTACAGAAGGTCAAAAAGATATGCAACATAGGAATCCAGCTCCCATGAAAATGCATATTCACATGTTTATTTTATAGTTACCACAATCTCCAAGTGAATATCTCCTCACTTTCATAGAACATTTGGACTGTTCCATCATTTTATTCACACTGAAACTGTGCCCTGCACAGTTTACTGAGGCCTTTGCTGAAACAAGGCTGGTTTTTGAAACTATAATATTTATTAAATCCCCTCACCTTCCATTTTACTCAGCAGAATAATCCCTGCAAGATTTCAATCAGCAGTGTGACACCTGAGAAAGATAATGTAATTGGGTTGCTGTGAGTTTTCTAGTCTGTATGGGCATGTTTCAGTAGCATTCCCTCCTGACGTTTCACCTGCATCTGTGGTGGGTATCTTCAAGAGGTTCTGTTGGCAATTAAGCAAGTGGAGTGTACATATATCAGTGGAATGTCCAGGTTGAGAGAAAGAACCCTTGCCTGTTGAAGCAAGTGTGAATCTTGTAATTAGCGAGTTGGAATAGCATTGAGTAGCCATGAAGCTGCAAAGTCAATCAGTGAGAATATCTGCATAAAAGTATCCTGGAGGCATCCTTTGTTTGAGAGGTGTTACCTGGAACTTGATTGTTTGATGTTTGGAGTTCTTTTTGAATTTGAGATTGCTATTTCTGAGTGGTGTTCTTTAATTACTGTCTTGATTCTGGTGTTTTTTTAATACTGGTAGTCAGATTTTGTTCATTTTCATGGTTTCCTCCTTTTTTGTTAAAATTGTCCATGTGCTTGTGGATTTCAATAGCTTCTCTGTGTAGTCTGACATGATGGTTGTAAGAGTGGTGTAGAATCTCTGTGTTCTCTGGTTGAATGAATCTGCAGTGCCTTTCTTGTTCTTTGATTCTTGTCTGGGCACTACATTTGGTGGTCCCTATGAAGACTTGTCCACAGCTACACAGTATAAGTAGACTCTTGCAGTGGTTAGCAGTGGTCAGTTTACCAGCTGCTAGAATTTCTGGGAATTGAAGGCCAAAACATTTGGGGACCACTAAATTAGAGGATCCCTCTTATCCTTTTGCTAAATGTAGCATTTGTTGAATTTTCTTGGTGGGTGGGGTCTGTAGATTGTTTGTAGGTTGTGTTTCTTCATCAGCTTTCTGATGTGGTCAGTAATTATTTGCTAGATTATTGTTGGCACTTTAGTATTTACACAGCATCCTTTTGGCAGAAAGGCTAATGCAGTTCTTAAAAATGCATGCACAAAATAAACCATTTAAAGTAGCTCTGTGAGTGTGATGCCAAAATAATGCAAAAAAATAGTTACCACTGAGGGATGATAAGTAAGCAGTTGCTTATCTTACCGAAAAAGCTTTAACATTTATCTGACAAAGTAAAATAATGATCACTTTTGGTTTTTCACAATGACCTCTGTTGATAGAAGGAAGATTTTTTTCTATTTTTTTATGCCATTGATATAATATAAAATCGTAAAAGGTATACTGAGAGGGGGAAGGATATGTTAGATATGTTTTAGACAATTATCACTTTTTTAGACTTGACTGCAAAGCTGGAATTATTAATTTAATTGTAATGTTCACATTTCTTTATTAACAAAAATTCTACTGACAAAAATGTGAGGATTTCAGGACATGCCAGAGATCTTTTCTAAAGGGTTAAAATGGCACATCAGTATGAGGATTGTGCATATTCATTTGCTCAAAGCAGCTAATAGTAAATATCTAACATAGTAAAGACATGTTTCAAGACATGGCTTCCAGATATACGACTTTAAAATAAGGAATAAACTTTGGTGAGGGGTGGCTTTTTAATTAGTGAAAGAGAGTGATCAATCTGTTACGCCTTAAATCTTTAAGATAAAAGCTGTTTTTAAGAATAAGGTTTTTTAATGTTATAAAACATACTTTGTAAAATAGAAAAAATAAAAGACCAAAATGTAAATATTTTATTATATGTTATTTCTGGCATCAAATTGTTCCTAAGTTTAAAGGCCACTCTGAATCCCCTTCGGGGTTGAGATGGGATATAAATGATGTAAATAAATAAATAAATAATTTCTAATCAAATTACGGAATAATATTCAGGGGCCAGTCCCACGGGGTCAATTCCAATAAGATAACTGTTATTAAACTTCAGTTAGGAGACTTTTAAAATCCCATAAATATTGTCAATGTAAACTATAAAAAAAAATTTCAAAGGTCTAACTCAGGGGTCCTCAAACTTTTTAAACAGAGGGCCGGGTCACAGTCCCTCAAACTGTTGGGAGGACGGATTATAATTTGATAAAAACATGAATGAATTCCTATGCACACATATCTTATTTGTAGTGCAAAAAAAAACACTTAAAACAATACAATAATTAAAATGAAGAAAAATGTAAACAAATATAAACTTACTAGTATTTCAATGGGAAGTGTGGGCCCACTTTTGGCTAATGAGATAGAATTGTTGTTGTTGTTGTTGTTGTTGTGTGCTTTCAAGCCATTTCAGACTTAGGTTGACCCTGAGTGAGGGCCGGGTAAATGACCTTGGAGGGCCATATCCGGCCCCTGGGCCTTAGTTTGAGGACCACTGGTCTAACTGGTATACAGCAAAGAGCAGAGTGTGACTTTTCTCTCTTGAAAAAAGGGTTACTTAAAAATCAGGCTCACATGCAAAGCCTATTAGTGAATTCTTATCCTACATCAACATTTAGTCTTTGAAAACTGTTTAAGGTTGCCTAGGATTAACACTACTCCTATTTGCCTGCAATTCACTCCATCTGAAGATCCAAGAACATCTCAGTGAGTAAACCTAAATGGCCTAAAAGGGAAGGAGAACTGCCACTTCTTTTACAGCTTAGGAACCACTTAAGAGATTACAAGCAGATTCCTTCCCACTACTGTAGTTATCAGTACCTATCACTTTCTCTTGACCTTCAGACTGTAAAGCAAAACCCATCTGGCTTTCTATGAACGTGCTATGTAGACAGTGTTGCTAGCAAAGCAACAGTTTGAACACTGGGTACTCAATTAACACTTACATAAGAACAAAAGATAAAGCTTCAGAGACTATGATTTTAACATATTTTAAGTTACAAAATAATAAGGATGGGCATGGGTATAAATAGGTCTTCTGCATGGGTATAAATTAATAGATATGGGTACAAAATCTCCCCTTACTAGCTACCACTGAGGGATTAGTAAACAGTTGCTTATCATATCGAAAAAGTTTTAACATTTATCTGACAAAGTAAAATAATGATCACTTCTGATTTTTCACAGTACAATATGACCTCAGTACCTGCAGGACCGGTACCCGAAATTTCACTTAACTGTCTTTGAAAAAAATATGTTACCTGTAGGGTCTTCCCCTACAGATATGGGAGTCATGCTGTACAAAAATGTTCTAGCAGTAATGGACACTTTGTTGTTGTTGTTTATTCGTTCAGTCGCTTCCAACTCTTTGTGACCTCATGGACCACGCTTTATGGGCACTTTACAAAATTTTAATAAACCTTGATACTGAAAGAGTCACAAATAACTAATCTCCAATATTCTGGTGTGACCATTTGCTCATATGCATCTTGTTTCCTTCCACCAAATGAAAATTGTCCTTTCATTAAAGGAGTTGAGCAGGAAGGAAAATGTATTTCAAGTTGAGCAAGCCCTTCCTGATTATTTATGGTTTGGAAAACCATTTCTATCCCGCAAATTATTCCACATTCACTCAGCTGCAAACTTGACCTTTTGCCCAAAGAACAACTGGCAAAATTGCTGTTAGGCTGGCAACTGCCAGAGAGTACAAAATCCACTGGGGTGAGCGAACCAGTAGCAGAACTATTTTTTTGGGACATTGAAACATTTCCTCACATACATTCCCTCAAAGTGAGTGAAACAACACAAGTATTCTTTCGGTTAGGTAGCTGGTATTTTAAAGCTGAATGATAGCTTATTTAGCCTGCCAGTAAAGAAACCAGACATAAGAAGGACATAATGGCTGCTCACTCCTATCTGCAAAGATCAAAAACATTCAGCCTGTTGGACCTAGGCCAGATCGCTGCATGTCTGGGTGGGTAAGTGGGGGGAGTGAAGATTTCACTTTAGGTAACTTGAAAAATAAAGTAACCCATGGGAGCAATAACTGTTGTTTCCCCTACCCAAATGTGACAAAATGTTACCCTTAGGAATTTTCCACGCAATTCTATGCTTCCTTCAGAATAGCCATGGAGGACCAAGAAAATTCTCAGGGAGGATATCTATGATAACTTCTAGCAGAAATCATTTCATTTCAGTATGGTTCACTATTATCCATGGTTTCTGTTTCCACAGTAAATTCAGGAAAATATTCCCCATGGATACACTGTGCTACATTATTTTCCTCTCCACTGAAATGTGGGGAATGCAGACCATCAAATCTTGACTTTTCTACATGCTGCCACCATGAAAGATTAGAGAGAGAAAAGCAGTCCAAATGCAAGATACGGCACAAGAATATTAGTCTCAATTTCTCACCTGGATAACCTCTCCATTGGAAGCTATTAGGTCTGTTGGGATGGTGACTCTGAAGGAGCGCCCCACTACAGCAGAGCTGTCTGGAATTCCCACCACAGCTGGCACACTCTCTCGGAGGTCGGAAAGCACTGAATGCATGGAGGCCTCTAACTGGTTCTCCCAGTCCCGTACAACTTCTGAGGCTTCACTAGGCCAATGGCACTTAACAGATGTAGTCACCATCAGGACTAGTAAAGTCCTCCCCAGCACTGGGGATAGCTGTACAAATCCAAGAGTCATTCTTTCTGCACGTACCAAGCACACTCTTCTTGTCAGAAAAGGAGATCCAAGATCTAGCAAGCTGTACAGAGCTATGCAGTCCACGCGTTCTTCACACAAGATTCATTGTTGCCTGCCTTGATACCTGAAAGGGGAACATATGCAAAATCAATCAGTAAGTGAAGACAAACATCATTATGACATTCTCTGATTAATGTATGTCAGCTGGCTTAACACATTAAGCTGTTTAGCAGCTGAAGTCAAGCCTTGTGCCCATGCTTATCACATTCTGCAGCACTTGCTCCAGATGGATAAGTGTGGTCCCATCCAGGACATTGTGCAACCTTTGTCACTCACAGTCATAATGTCCTCTATTCTCTATGTATCCTTCAGAATCTATACTCTATATCAGGCTTGCACAACCTGCGTCCCTCCAGCTGTTTTAGCCTCCAACTCCCAGAATTCCTGGCCATTGGACAAGCTGGCTAGGGTTTCTGGGAATTGGAAGCCAAAGCAGTTGAAGGGCTGCAGGTTGTGCAGGCCTGCTCTATACCCTACATGGAGCTATCAAGGGTCTCCCATCCGGATTATTGATATTTATACCTCCTAAGCTTCAACAATACTACAGGATAAAATGTTCCCTAGCCTCATAATGCACCTCTCCAACATCTCCTGGTCCAATTGAAGTGAAATAGTATCAGAACAAGGTAAGTGGTGAGACAAATCATGGGACCAGGTGGCCTTTCAAAACAATAATACACCAAACTAACCAACAAACAGTAGGAAGTTCATACGAGAAATTTACTGCAACATTAAGGGAAGAACAGACATTTTATTCCTACTACAATGAACACCCCAAACTATAGTACATCCCTACTTGTGATCTGAGTTGACTTGTTATTTCAAACTTGGAAGGCCAAGAACCTCCTCACATAAATTTGGTTTACTAACTAGGCATTGGCTTTATCTAGGTAATCCCATGTCCCTCTTAAAGCAGGTTATGCTGTCATTTCTAATTTATGTCCTAAGGTTATTTCAAATATATGTTTAGCTGCCACAAGAAAGAAGTATATATGATAAGGTCAACAAACAATAAATTGAGTTCATGTTCCTTTACATACATGAAGGCATGTTTTAATATTCAGATTATGTTATAGCAAAGGTACCAAAGCTAGCATTTCATTAAGACTTTCAGAAATAATGCGTTCGAATCTCATAGCTTTTTAAAAATACAAATGCAAAGCAGTCGCACCCCTTTCACCAAGTGAAAAGTATCTGCATTATCTAGTTGTCTAAACATACTTTATATGAGCCAGTTTCTCCATGTATATTTTTAATTACACCTCAAAACAGCTTTAAGTAAATCATAAACTAGACTAGATTTGGATATAGCATTACAAGCAAGTATTTCAAAAACAAGGTAACAGGCAGTCTCCTGAATAGGATTTCTCACAAAAACATTTTAGCACTTTACTACATAATCTAAGGACATTAGTTAAATATTTTTCTCCCATACTCATGGACTCAATAAAAAGACAATGTTTCAACAACAACAAAAATCTGGGAGAATACAGAAAGCAAGCTGGTTCCATCTTCTACATGAGGTCCCTTCACTTTTCAGTCTTTTCCAAACTGGACATATCCAACTTCCCCAATTCCCCCACCCCCTGCCCCCCAAAGCTGAGTTTCAGACTTTTGATAATCTTGGTTGGTCTTCGGTGGACACATTTCAGTTTGTAAATGTGTTAATTGTTATTACAAGATTCCGAATTTGGTGGGGAAGTCATCCTAATTTATGGTGTCTTCTCTCTAGTGAAAAAGAGAAAATTCTAAGTTCTAACAAATTGGAAGTAAAAAGTAGATCTTGTTCTGTATTATTTCACATATAGAAATTAATACTTCTGAAAACTTTTCTTTTGTTAAGTCAATAGTACAAAAGCAAGAGAGACAGACTCAAGTGGGAAAGATTCTAGCAGTTTGTACAATGCATTCCAGGAATATATTCTGGGTTCTGTCCATGACACAAGAGAATTATGTATTTGAAGCATAATAGTACCTGGTCCCAGAAGGACCAATTGCTTATATTTAAGTATAGTTAGAGCTCAGCTGAGGAATTCTCATTCTTTAAAGCACATGATTCAAATTAAATTACTCAACTTCAGGCAAGCTTTGCTGAATTTCTATCTAAGAACTAAGAACAAATCTTTTTGTAGATCACTGCTGGCACAGCTTATGATAAGCCAAGAAAACCATGTAAACAGTCAAATGTCTACCATTAATTAAAACACCCCATTCTCACGCTCACAGACCAAGCAATCCATCCATCTAAGAACAACAAGGCATTCTGGAAATATAAACACTGCTAATTCTGTATAAATATGTTTGTAGGCATATCTGTACACTGTGAACAAATACCCACACTGATATAAGCTGGTAAACAGGAGAGAATAATAACAATGAAAATGTATATGGTGGGTTCTTGGTATCTGTTGGGGTTTGGCGTCAGGACCCCACATGGATACCAAAGTCTGTGGATGCCTATGTCTCATTATATACAAATAGTGTGTCTTATATAAAATGACAAAATAAATGTTTGCTTTAAATAAGTATATTTTCAAGCCATGGATGGCTATACAGAATCCATAGGGGGCTGCTGTTTATGTGCATATATTTTTATGGAATTTACAGCCTCTTCCACAATAGAACAGAACTATATACATATGCTCTTAGGAGTTGTTGTTTTTATATTATTCTAAACAAAATCAGAGTTGTCTCAAAATTTTATCAGCTCTGTAGTGCTGGTCAAGTTTAAAAAAAAAACCCCTGATACTGATTTAGGAGATACACTCAGATAACAAGGTGCTTTTTTCACAATCATCTCACTGATCAAATCTTATGGTGTGCATTTCAGTCTCCAACATATCTATTACCACCAATAGGAAAATATGGCTCCTAGGAGCAATCTAGAAAGAAAAATAGCTATGACAGCTAAAAACCCACTCCAGAAAGAGAGGCAGAGAGTTATTTCAACTCTTACCTTTTATTGAGAACCTCAACTGACAGCTCTAAATCACTATACATTCCCCTTGCCTAACATTCTGTGTAGATTAAAGTTACTCTTCCTGCAAGAGCAAAAGCAAAAAGAAGAAAACAGTCAGACCAAGAAAGGAATCAGAACTTCTAAATTAATGTGGTGTTTCACCAAGAACTTTTGGCTGAGCCATATATATGCTGGATGTCACATATTACTGAACAGAAGCCTTTTTAGCTCCCTTGTTCTAACAGTGCCCTGGCTGGACTAGTTGCAGGCAGGCACGGCTACCAAGGTTAAAAGTAAGAATATATCTACAACTAGCTCATGCAAAAGATTTAGGTCAGGAAATGGAAACAACTTTCCTGAACACAGGAACATGAAAGGCAGTCAATGAAACATATGGAGGCATATGTAAACTAGAATACCCATCAAGTCAGTGACATAAATGCTCCAATATATCTTACATAGTTTTCAAATCATTAAAAAAATTAGAAGACTTAGTTCTTTAGCATAACCAAATACTAACTAAAACCAGCAGTGCCTCTCCCAAATGGGATGACAAAGATGAGAGCTGCACATCGATAGCTTATCCCTAACCCCTGTATGTGTTTTGTATGTGCCTTCAAGTCATCTGTCAACTTACAGTGACACAATGAATTCCAGTGCTTTCTTGTGCAAGGAATACTCAGAGATTGTGTTGTATTCCTTCCTCTAAATTTTAGATTACAGCATCTGTTTTAATATTTGTATATTTGTATATTTTAATTTGTATGCTGATTTTTTTTGTTAAGCCACTTTGAGTCTCCTGCAGGAGAGATAATGCAAGATATAAATAATAGTAATCATCTGATATTATTTGGCAGTTTTCCATGCAAGTATTAACCAGGGCTGACTCTGCTTAACTTCCAAGATCAGACAGATCTGGTGCCTTCAGGGTATTCATGCCCTACTTCTAACTCCTGGGTGACCTCCATTATCAATTTTAGTTCAATTTTCAACACAAGGCTGACAAGATGGAATACTGAAGGGCGTTGATGTTGATGTAGGGAGCCCAAACACCATGTTCCCAAATCAGTCATCAAGAAAAGAGTGTAACCATTTGAATACAGTGCCATCCCTAAACAAGGGAGTCGATCCAGGAAGATATTGTGGAAAATATAGTAATACTGAAAGCTGCTGAGAGGTCTACGAGACTTATTCAGATTTCATTGTCCCTTCCATCTCAGCATGTTATCATTGGAATGAACCAGGGAGCTTTGATATCAGTTCATCTCCTGAAACTCAAATGAAATGTATCAAAACACTCAAGTGTCCTTGGAATTAATTGGCTACCACATAGTCAAATACTTTTCCGTAAGTAACCAGCTGAAAATATTCAGTCTCATAGTCAACCACAATTTTCTTCAGAAACAGTCATACGGACTTGTCTGAGTTTTAAAATCCTTGGGGGAAGGCTTTCTTGGTCACCATGATCACAAGTATATTTGGTTGGTACGTGGGAGAAACAGCATACTTCCAAGGGCGTCCTGAGTGCTACAGATGTTTGGTATAGGAAAAAACCCCACATAACCTAGAAAAGTTCCAACAGATGCCGCTGTAATGGTGGCAGAAATTAACTGTGTGCTAGTTATTGGTCAACCTGTATGAAACATATCACAGACAATGATCTCTCTGTTTTATAGTCTTAAAGTCTCCAGGAAAACTGAGGAGTTGACGTCAACCCGGGTCTTGCTTACATGAAAAGGAAATACCACTCTCACTACCCACCACAAACTACAATAGGCCTAGAAATATTTTTTAAAAATTAAGAAAAGTAATCAATATCTGAAAAAATTACCCCAGCCAACAGATATGTTGTGTACTAAAAAAGATAGAATCCCCAGAATCAGTTTTAGAATTCTTTTATATCCAAATCACATTGAAATATTGGCCTTAGAAAATCCTTTCATCATGGATGCCTCCTTAATCTAAATTCTTTTCCTCAATACTCCAACACCAAAGAATGTAAGACCTTCAGGCCAAAGTTCCACAAACTGTAAGTTTTACACAGCAACTCCCTAGATGCTTCAGGGACAAGGTTGCTATGCAAATATTGGCCCTGCTAATCACAC